GGGGGGGGGGTGTGTAAGATGCTACTGGATAGAATCATGGAAGCATTTAGGTTGGACAAGACCCTGAAGATCAAGTCCAACCGTTGGCCTAGCACTGCCAAATTCACTACTGAATTGTGTCCCAAGGTGCCACATCGACATGTCATTTAAATACCTCCAGGGATGGCGACTCAACCACTTCCCTGGGCAGCCTGTTCCAATGCCTGACAACAATCTCTGTGAAGAAATTTTTCCTAACATCCAATCTAAACCTCCCCTGGTGCAACTCAAAGCCATTTCCTCTGCTACTCAGGAGACTGACGCCCACCTCACTATAACTTCCTCTTAAGCAGTTGTAGAGAGCAATAATGTCTCCCCTTAGTCTCCTCTTCTCCAAACTAAACCAGTCCTCTCAGTCACTCCTCACACAACTTGTTCTCTAAACCCCTCAGCAACTCTCTTGCCTTTCACTGGACCTGCTCCAGCACCTCAATGTCTCTCTTGTAGTGAGAGGCCCAAAACTGAACAGGATTCTAGGTGCGGCCTCACCAGTGCCCAGTACAGGGGACAATCACTACCTTGGTCCTGCTGGCCACACCATTGCTGATACAGCTTAGGATGCTGCTGTGCACTGCCAGGTCATAGTCAGATGGCTGTTGACCAACACCCTGAGTCCTTTTCCACCAGGCAGCTTTCCAGCTGTAGCAACCCCAAGCCTGTACCGTTGCATGGGGTTGTTGTGACCCAAGTGCAGGACCTGCAGCTTTGGAAGATCTGAGACTATATCAGAAAGAGTGGTTTGTTGTTTGGTTGATTTTTGTTGGTTATTTTGGTTGTTGTTTTGGTGTTAGTAGTTTTTTTTTTTGGGGGGGGGGGGGGGGGGGGGGGGTTGGTTTTTTGTTTGGTTTTTTTTTTTTTTTTTTTTTAGCAGAAAAGCTCATACATTCAAGGAGATGGGACCAAGTTTAATCCAATGAGCCATTTTGTATTTCTGTATGAAATTATTATTCAAATGCTGAAAACATAAAAAGACATTTTGGGACATAATAGCTTTTCATATTCATTAAATAAGGGCACTGCTCTGACTGGTAGAGATAAATAGAAAGATAACCTTTAAAGATGTTTTATAGGCTTAAACTAAATCCCATCGTAACTGACAGTTGACCAAGACAGAACAACCTGGCCCATATGTCAAATATTTCATAGCCTAGTTCCAAACAGATTAGATTAGGTATTCTCTCCCAAATGTGATTTGTTATTTGATTTGAAGACAAAAATTGAATTATACAATGTTTTGGTTATCTTGTTGGTCAGAAAGCATTAATGTATTCAGGAAACCTCAGGCAAAACTAAAGAGTCTAAGATAAACTATACTTAAATTTGCCTTCATGCTAAGTTTCATTCTATAAAGCCAGATGAATTGTACTTTATACATGTTAAGTGGTTACCACCTTCCCCTCACGTTTCCTCTGTGTGCCTTTTTCCTCCCACTCCCAAGCATCTCATTTTGCAATTAAATGGACATCCACAAAGATATGCACGTACGTAAAGAATTCTCTTTCTGAATATCCTCCAATTCTAATCGTTCGCAGTCTTCGTTATGTTGATGTTCATCTCTGACTTGGGTATTTGAAGATGGTGTAAAACCAACATAGGCGTATCTTCTTCCATATCTTCTACCTGTAATAGTCTGATATCTTCTTGATGGTTTGGGCCAGGCAGGTTTGCCAGCTTCTTGATCCATTGCTGTGTAAGATTATGGAGGAAAAAGAGACTCATTAGACAACACTATGACTTGATAATTTCCCTCTTCTCCAACTCTTTAATATAATTTTTTAGCAAGAATTTCCTATTTCCCTGAAGTTTGGAGCCAGATGTCACTTGTTTTTTTGTTTTGTTTTTTTTTTTTTTTTTAAATGCAATACACTTTTGCATGTAGCTGTGACACAACACATCTGTCAGCTTACAAAAAAGTCTGCAAGCATTACAATGGAAAAGACTTCAGGAAATGCAACAAAATTGAGCTAGCCCTGGCTGGCTTACCTCTGTGATGGAAAGTGTACAATTGATCAAGTCACACCTTCTAAAACAAGAGTCCCAAGTCCCAGAGAGAAGGCTTTATTCTTCACACTAGGTAACATGTGTAGGCATGGCCATACAAGGCAATTGTCCACATATGGTTCCTATTTATAGCAGCATTCTGTATTAATGGATCTTAATGCTTTTGCCAAGAAAACATGAGGTAAGTTGTATAAGTAAATTTGAAAAACAGTGGGGGAAAGCTGCCAATATTATAATGGAGATTTTAATACAGCAGTAGAATCAGCTATTACCACAGAATGGTTTGATTTGGAAGGGAGCTCAAAGCTCATCTAGTTCCATGCTCCCTGCCATGGGCAGGGGCACCTTCCACTAGACCAGGTTGCTCAAAGCCCTGTCCATGAACACTTCCAGGGATGTTAAGATGCAGAGTTTCATTCTCTTGATTTATTCTCTAGCACCTGATTTAAAATCAGAAATACAGTGAAAATCCACACAGGTTCACTTTCTGGGACATTTCTGTTGTTTGTTTTGGTTTACTACTGTCTCATAAATCAAAACCAGGGCCCCCAAAAGACTTGCTATTAATAGCTCAATAGAAGGGTTCATATCCAAAGGGTGTTGCTTGTACAAATGCATTTAGAAGTTCAGTATTTCAGATGCTCAGTGGCTTTTTGTGTCCCTCTAACTCACTTGATATGGAATTAACAGTGTAGTCATTCAAGGAGTCAAATTGAAAAGGAGACGCTGAAGTCCATGAAAATAAAGTCTGCAACCCTTAACACAGTTTTCTGAACTTCAGAAAAGAAAGCTTTTTTCTTTCCCAACTATGAAACTGATCTCTCCACTGCTTTTTAAAAGCGAATATCTATATGCAAAAATACAATTTATTAGCAGTTATTTTATGCAGCTTCAAGCAGAAAAACCACTATGTGGACTGCCTAAAAGATACAACTGCACACATGTACCAGCTATCAAAGAGTCCAAGTAGGGGTTTTTGTTTGTTGGGATTTTTTTTTGGTTTTTTTTTTTGTTTGCTTTTTTTTTGTTTTGGTGGGGTTTTTTTTTGTTTTAAACTAGCCTTACTGTTAAAGCTGCCTCTTTATTAGGGCTGACATACAGGAAACTAACTCTGTTAAGTTTTCTAACCTAGCATAACTCACAAAAATAAAATGCAAGGGGGGAAAAAAAAAAAAAAAGGGAGTATTTTCTTGGCATGCACTCTTGTAAATCATATGATCCTTTAAAAGCTTTAATGAAGTAAATAGAAGAAAGCTACCTACTGTAAGCTAGACTTTCTGGTAGGAGCTAGTCTTAAGAGGTTCAGACACATAACATTCTGTAAGATTTTGGTCTACAATTACCAGCATGGCAATTCTGAAAACATTTCCTAGCAACTCTGCACATCAGTCAAATTTCCACGGAAAAAATAGAAAAAAACCAAAACAAACAAAAAAACCACCAAAACCCACACACCTCTCCTCCCCACCCCCCCCCAAAAAAAAGCCACAACACAAACTACACAAAACACACACAAGAAAAAAAAAATAAACACAGAAACATGAGTTGTATAATTCTGGTGGAAGATCCAGAGCCTAAGGAAAAAAAAAATAAAAAAAAAAAATAGCAAGTTCCAGGAAAAGAAATATGATACAATCACTTTCTCTTTCACCCTGACATAGAAAAAGATACAATTGGGGTAAAATAAACAAGATTACACTCACAACAAAACACCTGCCACATGAGTTTAAAATATCAGTTTCATTCTCAGGTGAATTGACAGCAACAGTGACAATACTTGTTGCAGTGCTTAAAATTAGAAGTCAAATACTTACAATTCTACTGCTTAAAATTGCAACATTTAAAGACAATTATAAACATGAGGAGTGAAGCTGTCAGCTTTACTTTTTGTTATCTTTAGCCAATTCTAAGAAACCATTTGCTACAAAAATGTTGTGCTATTATTCATCACATAATATCTATGGCTCTAAATCTCCCTTAAAACATGTAATCCTAGTCATGTCTACCTTTCACTCTTCTTCCCACATATAAAATCTCTCAAACCACAGCCCAGTTCCATGAACACTGTATAAGTCCAAACATGCCCCTCACTAAATGCAATATGGTGATACTGCTTATTTCTACAGATCTGGGATGCCACTCAGTTGAATATTTTCAGAAAAAGTTAGCAGGTATCAGAGGCTTTTTTCTCATTTATCTATGTAGTTTGACTACTTATCATCATCTTTTAAAGTATTTTTAGGTATTTGTCCAAACCTGCCCATCCACATTAAATAACAGAAGTTAAAATTAGCAATTTGTTATTAACTATGATACTTTCGCAATCTTTTGAAAGTTGAAAACTCTCTAACATCGTTGCCAAAAAAAAAAAAAAAAGTCTCTGCAACTAATGCAAGAAAAAGGGGACTGAAAATTTTCTTAGTTAGCCAGCCAGTTCATATCCTTCTAAGTCAACCAGCAAGTCATTTTTATTCAAATAAGCTGTGATAATTCTTAAATTTTCACTGATTATGACACGGCTGGTTAGCAGACTGACAGAGGGAGCTGAAAATAAGCAGCCACATCCAAACCTAGAGCAGAATCAAACACTTAGAATTAGTAAACTGGCATAGCAACAGAGAAATCTGCCCTCAAACACAGCAGTACAAGTGGTTGAAATAAAAAAATTACAACATAACTGCCTAATCTTAGTTTTAGTTTGTACTCTAAAAGACCAGTATTGTTCAAAACCAGATGTCTGCTCCTGATAGTCAAACTCTCTGAAAGCAAATGTTTTATTTTTTAAAACTGATGTTCACAGCACACAAAGAATCTTTAAAGTTGGGTGTAATGCACTACAGTTTTTTTTGTTCCATCTTGTGTTCAACTATCCTTAGGATACATCATGCAGTTATTCTTCTGCCCTGAGAAAGATACATTGGATCAATATACTGAAAGCTTTCACCATTTACTAAAAGTTGGTCTGTCATATCTGGTTTACAGGAGAGGTTAACTCCTACCTAGATACAAAATACCTCAAACTAAGAGAAGGAGTCATGCATTCATTTGCCTGCATGCCTAAAATAAGCATTTAGTCGTGTGAACACAGAGACCAATTTACAAAGAAACCGTTAGGCAGTCAAGTTCCCAAGACACATAATAACCTCTCTCAAGTCCTTCCAGGACAGCACAACCATAGAACTGGGTATTACTCTGTCTTCTTTCAGAAGCTCAGTTTGGTAGGCCTGTTCAAAACACACCCAATACCTGCTGACAAGTCACAGTTCTGCAAAACTGACTAGTCTTACAGATGCAACACACCAGTGACTAAATAATCAAGGTATGAGAACAGGTTAGTTATTCAATTCTCAGGCCAAAGACGCTTATACATACACACACCTCTATCCTTTCAAAAGGGTACTACAGTCACCTGAATTCTTTAAAGGATCATTAGCAGCTGTCATAAAGCAGAAAAGCATTTTAGATTACCAGAGCTGGATTAAGAAAACCAGGAGAAAGTGTCTCCTAAAAATGCACAGTGCATGAACAGGTAGGTACAGCCTTTCTCAGGCACTGCCTTAGTCACTGATGCAGAGCAGCATGCTTCCTTTTTACTTCTGCAAATACTGAACTAAGGACTCACTCCCTAAAGCCAGTGAACTACAGGCTGTAACACAGAAAGCTTCAGAATCTATCCCAAATCCATTTTACTAGCATAACTGATTTGTCCTCTCCTGCAAAAAAACACCTCACTTTTCTTCAGAAGTAACACAGTGTTCAAGGTTAACTGTAAAGCCATGCATACATGTGATAACAACCCAGCACTCAAACATTCAGAAACTACCCGTCCCCTTGAACACAATCCTACAGATAAATCTCAAAACCATTCTAATTTACAGAGCCAAATTTAAGATCACTGGAGTTCCCTGCCAAGTTATATGCATAGTCCTCCAACAGGATCCCAGTCCTCACCCACCGAAACCCAGACACCTGCCTTTACTTTCCTCTGCATTACCTTTTGTTCTCCCATATCCTCTCAAATCCCTCAAATCCTGCATACTAGAAACAAGAGAAGCAGCTTTCTGGGCTCAAGTAGTGCATGACATATCTATAATACTACTCAAACAAATCACCACCACCCATGCAGATACAAGGCAGCAATTGTGACTGCACACCGAACTCCTGACTGAGGCGGTATCAACTGCCACAGGGGCAGGCAGGCTGGACTTCTTGACTCCAGCAACTACTCTGATATATCTGTGTGGCACCATTTCGTTGGAGCAGAGTCTAGTCCACAGAAGCAACTTTAAAACTTACATAAACTAATCACAGCTTATCTAATATGAACAAAATGTGGCCTTTGTTCCAAGAGCTGAAATACTGAAAACCTTCCCTTACCCACCTGGCATTTTTTGTAGTTTAAGGAGGTGGCAACAGAGTTTTTTAACTTCCACTAATAAAACTTGTTCCATAACCCTGGAAACTCCACCTCCTAGGCCTGTTACATACGTTATACAAAGGGAAAACCGAATTATGAGTGTATGCAACAGAGCAGGGAGAAGAAGCCAGGAGGGAAGAGTCTCAAGTGGTTTTCATCCCAAAGAGGGAAAGAAGGAGGGGTGGGTGTCATAATCTTCTGCTGAAGATACATAACTGGATTTTTTTTTTTTTTAGGACATGCAACATGAGCTTCAAATATTAAAT